TCGGCGGAGTTTTACCTCATGTATGGCAAGATTACTATAGATTACACTATCAAATACTTCGAATTTCTAGTGAAAATACACCAATCACGGGAACCACTTAGACGTGTAGAAATGCTAGCGATTTTGGTTTACAAATACTGCTTGTTCGTGCTGTTGTTATTATCGAAGTCCGCAACCATGAGATATCTAAACAAAGTAGGTTAAAATTTGACATTTTTGTAAATCCCTGTATAGTTTATAGTAATATTTAGTCGCCATATTGGGGCAATGTGCGCATGTCCGTCTCCATCTTGTCCCATATTTCTGCTAATGGTTTACCACGTGCGACCAGACAATCAACGTCATTAAGCTCCTTTAAAATAAGAGCCTATAAATACTTTTTAGATACTTATATATAAGTTATTTGTTTGTACGACTTTTATATGTGCTTGTTGTACTGATGTCCAATTTAATGTGTAGTTTTAATAGTAAATTTGTAATAAGTAGACGATAACAGTTGAACAGAAGGCCCAGTGTAATTAGATTAGCATTGCTAAACTGGTTTTTGTATAATTGCACCTTCTTTAAATAAAGTTTATTATTATTATTATTATTATTGCCTCCCAGACACGCTCCAGTAGAAAACTTGGTTCAGACTGGTCACATAACGCCTTAACTTTCTTTGCCACGTGGAAGGATAGGCTGAAATACGTGAAATGCAAAGATCGGATTTCTAGGAGTGTTTGTGTCAAATGTCGGGCAAAGATTGGATTGATAAAAATGTACAACTTACTTTAGTTATTTAGATTTTTGTATTGTAAAATATATGAGCGGAATAATAATATTATTTCAAATCCGGGAAAGCCCCACCTGGTTTCGTTTTTAAACCTACTTCGAGAAAAATATCTATTGTGTGAGTATTTTTTTCCCAGGAAAAATCACATCGTCTGCGGAAGTTGCGGCCTAATGCTGAGCTGCTTGAATTAACTAGCAAAATAAAACCCATGGCGATATTAGAGAGAATTGCAAACGATGATATCAACGACGCTGCTGTTGAGTTTTCCAATGTGTGCGGTAAAAATGTTTAATTGAACTAAGCTAACTGCCACGCAATTAAGACGCCTAGCTCAGCAAGTTTCTTTGTTGTGCGGCAAGCTTTACACCTTAATGACTGACTCCGTTTTAAAACAATTAAAATTTATAAGATTTGTATCAAACTATTGATGTAAATCCCGGGCGAAGGACAACAGCTAGCATGCTTGTTCGAACCGAGACATGACTATGGTTAGTAGGCTAATGTAGGTGGTTTTCGCCGGATCCGGGATTTTTAGGGCTGAGGAATGGCGGAGGAGTTAAGAGTTTGCAGTTTGAAAGTATTTTACTATTTTCTGTCCTTCGCGACGCAGTATTGAATTTCTCCAGAAAAATGTCAGACAGTTGAACGTCGGGTTCATAGAGACAAACGTAACAAACCATATTTTAAAGAACAGCACTTGTCTATTGCAAAAAGGCTTGTTCGATATCAAAGGCAAAGTAGAATGTATAAGTTGTGGAAAAGAGTAGACGCGAAAACTTGGCATGCAACCGCCAAGGAAAATGTGGAAATGTTTTCGAAACTCAATTTGCATATTTTTCTTGGTTGATGATTGAATGTTTGCTGTACCTAGTAATTGGAGCGACCCTTTCATTTTTGCCATTTGACTTGGCGATGGTAAACATTTTATAACTTCAGCAAATGATCACGAACAAGAGATCAATGAAACAAACGCAGTTACAAGCATATTAGCTTGCTGTTTTCCCGTAAAGATATGTCAATGGCAATTACCTGACTGTTGTAGTAATCAAAAATGCCTGAAAAGTACAAGTCTTCTTGGTAACTATTTCAAGACTTTACTTTCCTTTCAAAGAGTGTTCTGTTAAACAATGAATATAAAAATAAACGCAACTGATAACCTTTATATACACAATGCACTTTCATTTATTTAATTCAAAACAGCTGTAATTTTGTCATATTATTGAAGCACAGCCAAAACACTTTAATCATTAATCTTTCTAGAATTTCACATTAAATAGTACATACTAAATACAATTTACAATTTACAATGTGAATTACATTTAAACTGTATAAAAAAATTAACTAAGACTAATGTTAAGAGTCAATATTTACAAGTAATCTTAAATAAAAATTTAAAAATTTTTGAAAGAATTCGATAAATTTACTTCGACTCCAGCGTTCGGTTAAAACATTCAATCCCATACACAATTGGGCTATTTTTAAATCGTTCAGTTCGATATCCAAAATTATACAGTTTTTCTCCATTTGATCTAGTTTGTCTCTGTCTTATCTGATTAACTGTTTCTGGCAATAAACTGTGTAATCTATGTCTTAGGGTCTATCAATCATTGTTTTTATAAGGTTTCCGCACATATTCTTTCTGCGAGCCTTTAATGTTTTAAGGTTACAGTCCAGTAATGCTTCTTCATAAGTCAGTCCAGGACAAATTATCCTAAGCGAACGCTACTGATCTCGTTCTATATCAGTAGACTGTTCCTTGGTTAAGTTTCCATGCCAAATTTGAGCACAATATTCAAGTGTCGATCTTATGACAGCTATATAAAAGGCTTTTAAATCCTGCTTTACTGCAATACTGCAGTGTTAGTGCAATACTGCAGTTTTATTGACAAATCGTAGAGGACAAAGTTCGCACTATACGCGGAACCAAGTACGAAATATTAGGGAGTTTAAACTTCAGGTCATTCAGGTTTGCGGAAACGGCAGGTTCGAACTTTCTTGGCAAAATTTCCGTTGAACGTTTTCGTTTCATATTTTCTTTCTTGCGTCGAAAAAATAATTGTATTTCAGTTTTAAAACAGCAAGTTCATTTACTCTTTATTGTCTGATAGCGTAAATTTTTTCTCTGCTTGGCGTTTGCCGTTTCACGTATAACGCGAAGCTTAGACTCTCTAATGACGCCACGTTTACGTCACACTAAGGCGTTAGAGTTTCGGCACGGATTCCCAAACAGAGCGCAAATAGTGAAAAACATGTTCAATATAAAAATAAAAAAATATTAAGTAAAAAGAAAAATATAATAAAAAATTTTGTGCTATAGTGGAAGCGCCCAAGTGCTCTGTTCTCATCTCGCTCCGTTTAAAAACCGCGATGAAATGCTACAGTGCAGTGACGGAATGACGTTTTCAAAACATTTTGCTCCCTTTCATGTTTCGCTCGCTACTCTGGTTTAAATAAATGATTACAAAGCCCAGTCGACTTGTAATCAAGACCCAACGTTTCGACACTCGAGTCTACTGTCTTCATCAGGGGTGATCTAAAATTGCAATCGTGGCTTCTTAAATACCCAAGGGATGACGTCACCTGCCAATGAAATGCATCTCATGGGCAGGTGACGTCATCCCTTGGGTATTTAAGAAGCCACGATTGCAATTTTAGATTACCCCTGATGAAGACACTAGACTGGAGTGTCGAAACGTTGGGTCTTGATTACAATTCGACTGGGCTTTGTAATAATTTATTTAAACCAGAGTAGCGAGCGAAACATGATTGATATTCCTGGTTTCAGTGAAGGAACAATCTTTAAATTTTGCTCCCTTGCTGTGAACGTAGTCCCTGCACTTTCTGTGAACACAAGTAATTTATTTATGCTGGCTTTGGAACTTTAAAGAAGAAGTTTTAGAAGAATAAGTTTTATTTCTTCACTGCAATTTTACAATCATTCATTAGTTACTTATAATTATAAATTGAGTGAAGCCGGCTTTCCAAAATAACCAATAGTAGGCTAATCAGAGCTGGAGGCCAAAGATACCGAATAATAAAAAAATAGGTACGCAAGGCGTACATGTATCTGCGAAAAAACTTGATTCACATTTTGTATTTTCTTGAAAGAAACTGAATAATGAAGATGACATGGGACAATTGAAATATTTCATCACTTATTATAATGGCAGATAAGATTTAAAACAGGGCTGTACACAGCGGGAAGTGCAGCAGGGCAAGTGCTACCCTCCCCCCACCCCCGCACCAAGAAAATTTAACTAACTTTATAATGTGATTATGATTGTAACAGATAATTATGCAGTCAGGAAATAAAAATTTCATGCAAACAATATTCAAAGTGTCTATACAGCCAGCTATTTAGTAAACTGTCACCTGTCAATTTCAATCCATACTCATCAAATTTTCAAAACTTTATTGTAATCATATGAAGCAAAAGTTATGTCACTTGTTGTTTACACTTGCCAATGTTAACTGTTGAGTAACATACACAAAATATTTGGTGAACATGTCGAAGACCACTGAATAATTGAGAATGTTTTGAAGGTCATGAGTGAAGTGTATAATTAAATTCCAGTTCTGTGCACAGTTAATGATATAACCACACTGTTCGGTTTAACACGTACAGCACATTCACACAGAAACAATCGTGTTGTGGGAGATTATCGGTTTGAGTAGAAGGTATCACAAGTTTAGTTTTGTACATTGTGTGCCATTGATCAAATCCACCATATAATGTATGTGTAGCTACCAATCAGTGTATATATAGAGTTCAGTGGGAAAGCCGCCCCATAAAACATTTCGGGTTTGGACGGCCATATTGAATTTTGAACACGAGAAGTAAACATTTTGAGTATTTAAAGAACATATATTGAGGATTTTGTTAGTAGAAACTTGCTTTATTGAACGACCGATACAGTCGGTAAGTTTTTGAACACTTATTGTTGACAATTTTAATGTATTTGTATATTAATTTTAGTTTAACTTGCAGAAAACCTGCTGTTTATATTGGTGGAAATAGTAATATACGATATAAAGTGGAAAATAATAGTGGAAAATTGGCGTATATTTGTTGAGTTTTGACTATCGATCGTACGGGCATAACAGTTTTCAACTAAATCGAAGGGTAATACGAAGTTTATTGTTGGGTTTGATCGTATATTTTTGGAATTTTGTGGAAATATTTGGTAAATATTAGTGCGAATATATGTGTGCGTGAGATATAAATATGTCAAAATCATCTGGAACTATATCTGCTGAGGAAATGAAGCAACTGGAAAATAATGAAAATCGTGTGAGTCAAGGTGTAGAACAAATATCTGGTGGGGAAATTCAGGAACTAAATGTTTTATCGCCAGAGCATGGAACAAATATGGAAGAAGAAATTTCTGAACTATACAAGGTGCGAAATATTTCTATTAATAAGTTATCACAGTTGGCTAGTGAAGTGTATTGTTTGCTAATGGGTAAATGTGTCAATACTAGTTGGAGAAATGCTGTATTGATAATGGATAAACATACTATTGTATGGAAAGAATTTGTTGGTGTGCATGGACGTTTAATTCAAGTGTTGAACAGTGAGAGTGAGAAAAGGATGACTTGTACTGAATACGGACAACAACAAAACAGGAAATTAGAGTTGGATGCCAAGTTAAAAGAGTGGCGTAAATCAAAGGGAGCTGAACATTTAGATGAGATAGAGAGCAAGAAATCTCATAAATCATCGAAGAGTGGAAGTAGTTGTGGAAGTAGTGCTAGTACAAAATTATCGAGACAG